ACTGACCACCAATGTAAGGGGGCACATCTTCACTGACCACCAATGTAAGGGGGCACATCTTCACTGACCACCAATGTAAGGGGGCACACATCTTCACTGACCACCAATGTAAGGGCGGCACATCTTCACTGACCACCCAATGTAAGGGGGTGCACATTTCTTCACTGACCACAATGTAAGGGGGTGCACACTTCATACACACTGACCACCAATGTAAGGAAGCACACCTTCACTGCCCACTAATGTAAGGAGACACCTTTTCATTGTTTAACACTATATGGGGGCATTTTTTTCTGACCACCAATGTAAGAGAGCACACCTTCACTGACCACCAATGCAAGGGTGTGCTTCTTCGTTTACCACCAATGTAAGGGGGCACTCTTCACTGACCACTAATATAAGGGGGCACCTTTTCATTGACCAACAACACAAGGGGGGGCATTTCTTTACTGACCACAAATGTAAGGTGGCACATCTTCACTGACCACCAATGTATGGGGCACGCCTTCACTGACCACCAATGTATGGGGCACACCTTCACTGACACCAATGTATGGGCACACCTTCACTGACCACCAATGTATAGGGCACGCCTTCACTGACCAACAATATAAGGGGGCACGTTCTCACTAACAAACAATATATGATGGCATTTTTTCCTGACCACCAATGTAAGGGGGCGCACCTTCACTGGCCACCAATGTATGAAAGGAACACACACACCTTCACTGTTCACCAATGCGAAGCAGACATTTCTTCACTGACCAACTGTATAATAAGGGGACATTTCTTCACTGACCACCAATGTAAGGGTGTGCTTCTTCACTGACCATCAATGTAAGGAAGCACACCATACACTGACCACCAATGTAAGGGGGCACATCTTCACTGACCACCAATGTAAGAGGGCACACCTTCACTGACCACCAATGCAAGGGTGTGCTTCTTCATTTGCCACCAATGTAAGGGGGCACTCTTCACTGACCACTAATATAAGGGGGCACCTTTTCATTGACTAACAACACAAGGGGGCATTTCTTTACTGACCACAAATGTAAGGTGGCACATCTTCACTGACCACCAATGTATGGGGCACACCTTCACTGACCACCAATGTATGGGGCACACCTTCACTGACCACCAATGTATGGGGCACGCCTTCACTGACCAACAATATAAGGGGGCACGTTCTCACTAACAAACAATATATGATGGCATTTCTTCACTGACCACCAATGTAAGGGGGCACATCTTCACTGATCACCAGTGTAAGGAGGCACATCTTCACTGACCACCAATGTAAGGAGGCACATCTTCACTGACCACCAATGTAAGGGGGCACATCTTCACTGACCACCAATGTAAGGGAGCACATCTTCACTGACCACCAATGTAAGGGTGTGCTTCTTCACTGACTATCAATGTAAGGGAGAATTTCTTTACTGGCCAACAATATAAGAAGACATTTCTCCACTGATCAACAATGTAAGGAGGCAAACCTTCACTGACCACCAATGTAAGGGGGCATATCTTCACGGACCACCCATTTAAAGGGGGCACATCTTCACTGACCACCAATGTAAGGGTGTGCTTCTTCACTGACTATCAGTGTAAGGAAGCGCACCTTCACTGACCACCAATGTAAGGGGGCACATCTTCACTGACCACCAATGTAAGGGGGCACATCTTCACTGACCACCAATGTAAGGGGGCACATCTTCACTGACCACCAATGTAAGGGGGCACATCTTCACTGACCACCAATGTAAGGGTGTGCTTCTTCACTGACCATCAATGTAAGGAAGCACACAATACACTGACCACCAATGTAAGGGGGCACATCTTCACTGACCACCAATGTTAGGGGTTGCTTTTTCACTGACCACTAATGTTAGGGGGTGCTTCTTCACTGACCATCAATGTAAGGAAGCACACCTTCACTGCCCACTAATGTAAGGAGACACCTTTTCATTGTTTAACACTATATGGGGGCATTTTTTTCTGACCACCAATGTAAGAGAGCACACCTTCACTGACCACCAATGCAAGGGTGTGCTTCTTCATTTACCACCAATGTAAGGGGGCACTCTTCACTGACCACTAATATAAGGGGGCACCTTTTCATTGACCAACAACACAAGGGGGCATTTCTTTCCTGACCACAAATGTAAGGTGGCACATCTTCACTGACCACCAATGTATGGTGCACACCTTCACTGACCACCAATGTATGGGCACACGCCTTCACTGACCACCAATGTATGGGGCACGCCTTCACTGACCACCAATGTATGGGGCACGCCTTCACTGACCACCAATGTATGGGGCACGTTCTCACTAACAAACAATATATGATGGCATTTCTTTCCTGACCACCAATGTAAGGGGGCAAACCTTCACTGGCCACCAATGTAAGGAGGAACACACACCTTCACTGTTCACCAATGCAAAGCAGGAATTTCTTCACTGACCAACAATATAAGGGGACATTTCTTCACTGCCAACAATATAAGGGGACATTTCTTCACTGACCACCATTGTAAGGGGGTACTTCTGTACTGACCATCAATGTAAGGGGCACTCATATACACTCTATTTTAAAAGGGTTCACCTAATAATTTACTGCAAGATGACCACTACGTGTACACTGCTGCACTGACCTGGGTATCTGGCATTGTGCATGTGAAATAATAATAGAACAAAGACACATCTGTCACCAGGATTCAGATACAAACATAAAAGGCTATGTACAGCTACAGTTAAATTTTAAGAACACAGGAACATTTGCCTGAAAATCTCTGCTTCTGGTCTGGATGAAGTACAGCAACAGGAGCTCCTGTATGAAAGGTCATGTGGATAAATTTGGCCTCTACCTTATGGAAACTCAGCCTTATATCACAGTCCTCTGATTGGGGATTTTTACCCAGCTAGCAGAGACAGGAAGTACCTGCCTATTACAAACTAACTCTGTGTTACTTAAAGAATATTTTAACCCAACATTTCATATTCCTGATCTGTGCTTTCTTTGTGTGAAATCCATGGTGTTCCTGCCAGTCCCACTGCTTTCCTATTAATACTGACCACACTAGGCAGGAGAGCACGTTTTTGTCAAATCTCTAGCTGTGCTGAGACCTCAGCCTGCTCTCCTCCAATGATCAGACTTGTCCTGACATCTCCCAACCCCACCCCTGCACAGACTTTCATGGAAAATGTCAGTGTGCTGCTGTTTCTCGTCCCCCAGCTTTTCTCCTCCCCCAGCTCTTATGCAGCTGAGAACAGAGGGTATGTGATCACTTTCAAAAAAGGGGAAAAAGGTATTTACAGTATATTGTTTTTATATCTATATACAAATATGAAATTAAACTGAATAGGTGAATAGAAATAGAACTGAATATATCCTGAGGAAGTCACGTGTCCAAATCGTGACGTAACACGTAGAGCGTGGTGACGCACATCCGGTCGGCGCCATCTTGGTACTCCTATTGACTGCAATACACCCATAGCATATGGGAAACTGCTTATTTGAATTTCAGCAGTTGTGAGTGTTTTCTTGGCGTTTTTGCTTTATAATGAATAAATAAGAGTTGCTCTATGGAGGTCTCTTCTGTTTACTCCCTTATGGCCTTGATTTAATGGTACATATCTATGAGTTCTTGCTGCGGTGACCACCATTAGAAGGAAGAACTTAAAATGAGGAGCCATCGGAGCCGGGTTAATTTAAAGCTGCATGGTGTGGAAAAGTGTTGCTGTGTAAAGCGTTGTGGCCCTGAGGGGTCTTGGTAAGGAGGTGAGGGGGCATTTTGGCTATTTACAGATAGTGATCCACCTGTGTGTTGCACAAGCACAGGAAGTTTTTTTGGAGTGACAACTGAAGCACCTACATCTACAATTTTTGCATGGACGTTTTTTGCACATGTGTGTACTTGCACTTTGTATAGGTCCTCATTTAGGACCCTTTTATGCTTTGCACTTTATCACAGTGATTATCACGTATTTAGCACTTTGTGTCATTTATTTAATTTGTTTATTATATTTATTAGCGCTTCACCATCATTATTTATTAATGTACTGTAAGTATACCTGAAACTGCAATGCACTGTACTCTGTAACACACTGGACACCGCACTGCACTGTACTCTGTAACGCACTGGACACCGCAATGCACTGTACTCTGTAACGCACTGGACACCGCAATGCACTGTACTCTGTAACGCACTGGACACCGCAATGCACTGTACACTGTAACACACTGGACACCGCAATGCACTGTACACTGTAACACACTGGACACCGCAATGCACTGTACTCTGTAACGCACTGGACACCGCAATGCACTGTACTCTGTAACGCACTGGACACCGCAATGCACTGTACTCTGTAACGTACTGGACACCGTAATGCACTGTACTCTGTAATGCACTGGACACCACAATGCACTGCACTCTGTAATGCACTGGACACCACAATGCACTGCACTCTGTAATGCACTGTACTCTGTAACGCACTGAACACCGGAACGCACTGTACTCTGTAACGCACTGGACACCGCAATGCACTGTACACTGATACACTGGATACTACAATGCACTGTACTCTGTGACGTACTGTACTCTGTAACGCGCCGGACACCGCAATGCACTGTACACTGATACACTGGATACTACAATGCGCACTGTACCTGGTGCCTGGTGTGCTCTTCTTCTCTCCTGTTGCTCCTCTGGCTGCAACAGGTGAAATCGGGGGCTTGCAGGCTGCGGCTTGCTGGGACACAGTGAGCAATCTAGCTATTTTAGATATTTGTCGGCCAATGCCTTTTTTTACAATTTTTTTCTTTCAGCTGGCCCGTCAGACCCGATAAATGTGGAGAGCTGTAGTTTGAGGACCCCTGCTCTAGACTGTTCAATGTCCCTAATTACCTGCAGAGAGAGACTAACCCCTCTTCTGTTTAAAGTTCTGCACACAGTAAATATAAAAAAGACACACCTAGACTGTATAATTAGAGCCAATGTGAATGGACTGCAGCCAGGGGCTCAAATCATGGGGCCCCCGGGCAATAGGGGATCATGGGGCCCGTGTCCTTGCCCAAACTCAAAAAAGCCTATGAAAAAGGTACCAGGGGCATCTCATGGGGCCCCCTACTGACCCCGGGCCCTCGGGCAGTGCCCGAGTTTCCAAATGGTCAGTCCGCCCCTGACTGCAGCTTGTGGTGGTGGGTAGCTTCTGTACTATAGGGAAGAACTGGCTATTACCTGCAGCCCCTACAGGGGGAGCGCTCAGTGAAATTCAGCTTTAAACATTGAATTAAAATATGGGGGAGATTTACTAAAACTGGAGCGCTCAGAATCTGGTGCAGCTGTGCATGGGAGCCAATCAGCTTCTAACTTCAGTTTGTTCAATTAGGCTTTGGCAATAAAACCTGGAAGCTGATTGGTTTCTTTGAAGAGCTTCACCAGATTTTGCACTCTCCAGTTTTAGTACATAACCCTCTGTATCTGTCACTTAGATGAAAATATTTTTAGCCCTTTGAATTTAGTATAATTGAAAAAATGAATGTTTATGTTGTCTGTATATGCTTACAGTGCCGTTAATTTAAAGAGTAACTCCACTTTTGCTGAGAAAAAAAACACTCCCCTCTGGGTGATCTATGTACCTTGCAGGGATTTTAGCAAACTTTGTTGCAGATTCCTACCTTTTGTTATTCTGAAGAAATAGCTGCTTGTTTGTCTGTATCTATGTGCAAAGTGAATGTGAATGGAAGTGACTTTGTAATTACTAATCGGCTGCTGCACTTTCAGAGTTCTAATGAGAAAAGTGTCAGGGTCTGCATCCCTTGATTTCACTTTGGGAGTATCTCACAAAAATGACATTGTTCTTGCTGGAGATGCCCAAAATCTGACTTTTATCTTAGTGCAGACATCAGTAAGCCAATCACTCAAGCAGGAATTGACATTTTTGGAGGGCGTTCTGTACACCATCTGTATACAGAACGCCTCCGGGTTGCCATGCTGCATTTTACAGAAAATTACAGCGCTGCAAATTGAAAAGGAAAGGGCCGGATGCGACCCTTTGCTTGCTTTTATCCAGCCCTTGGGGCATTATTCCCGCCACCATCAGCAACAGTGGGGCATAGTTCTGGCCACTGACACCAACAATAAGGCAATATTCATCCCACTGACACCAATAATAGGGCACTATTCCTTCCACTGACAACAATAATTGGGGATTATTTCTCCCACTGACACCAATGGTAGGGCACTATTCCTCCTACTGACACTAATGATAGGGCGCTACTTCTCCCACTGACACCAATAATGGGTCGCTACATCTCACACTGACACCAATGATGGGGTGCTATTCCTCCCACTTACACCAATGATGGAGCACTATTCCTCCCACTGACACCAATAATGGGGCACTATTCCTCCCACTGAAACCAATGATGGGGCATTATTCCTCCCACTGAAACCAATGATATGGCACTATTCCTCCTACTGACACCAATGATGGGGCACTATTCCTCCTGCTGACACCAATGATGGGGCACTATTCTTCCTAGCGACACCAATGATGGGGCACTATTCCTCCCACTAATACCAATGATGGGGGCACTGTTCCTCCCACTGACACCAATGATAGGGCACTATTCCTCTCACTGAAACCAATGATAGGACACTATTCTTCCTACTGACACCAATGATGGGGCACTATTCCTCCTACTGACACCAATGATGGGGCACTATTCCTCCCACTGACACAAATGATGGGGCACTATTCCCCCCACTGATACCAATGATGGGAAACTATTCCTCCCATTGATACCAGTGATGGAGCACTATATCTCCAGTTAATACCAATGATGAGGCATTGTTTACTCCCACTGATGCCAGGATATTTTCTTCTCCCGCTGACCACAGTCCAGCCCCCCCAAAGTCTGAAGGACAGTAAACTGGCCCTTCGTTTATAAAGTTTGGAGACCCCTGAGTTATAATATGACTTGTGTTGCAATTGTATATACTATATTATTTTTTTATATGTTTTTTCCCATGAAAGTGGAGTTACCCTTTAAATAAATAAAATTTGGAATAAGGGAAAGGGCTATTTCATAGCAGTTTTGCCAGAGGAATAATAGTAGATGTTTTTATACGAGTCAAAATGTACGTTTTTCTAAGACAACCAGGTCTTAGCTAAATAGTACCCATGGAAACTAAAATCCTGAGGGTACCTAACTGGGTTTTTGTACTCGGTGAAAGGTCGGGAATCTTGTAAAACAAATAACAGTTATGTCTGGGTGATTCTTCATAGAAATATGTGGTCCAGACTATAGGAATACAACACAATCATTTTATTACTCAGGGAGAATCATGCAATTGTGCATTGCTTCCTTATGACAACATAATGATACAAAACGCTAATGCATGTTAATGGTGTCACTTGTAGGCGTGGATCATATCATGATGCTTCAGAGCATCATATTTACAGAAATAAATGATAAAAAAAGATTAAAGGTTTTGTTGCATAATACATGTGATACAAGAACACGGCATGGGAAGAATGTAAAGCACAAGAATTATCTGTTATTAATATACCTTGGATGTACTTACTTTGTTTCCAGATCATTATGTCCCTCAGCCCTGGTTCACGCTGATGCGGTGCGGAATTCACAGCGTTTTCAGTGCAAATTCTGCACCACATCACAATCGCACCCCGTTCATGCGAACCGCTGCGGGTGTGTATGTTAAGATAACAACACCCCGAAAGCGGTCCACAAAACGCGGTGCGACGTGCAGAATCAGATCGCATAGGTGTGAATACCTATGTGATCCGATTCTAGTGCGGACCAAAAAAGGGTCCTGTACATTTTTGGTGCGGGTGCGGTGCGAATAGAGCCATATAAAATGTATGGCTCTAATCGCACCACACCCAATCGCATGTGATTTGCACAGGAATGAGGTGCGGTTCCTGTGCGAATCACATGTGATATACCGCACCGCATATATGTGAACCCAGGCTTACAGAGGAAAGTTCTGTGTTATATGTATATAGATGTGCAATAATCGAGCGATTTGTACTTTTGGTTATAAGGCCTGATGCACACAGATCTCTCCTGGAAGCCTTTCTTCCTGGTAGCAGCATTTTGGCAGAAAATGTAACAGAATGTGTAACGCATTTAGGTGTGTTTAGCTGCGTCAGATATTTGGGCGTTAATTCATTTTATTGGCCAGAATAATCATTTTTTTCTGGCCATTGAAATTAATTAACGCTCCAGAGCTCAATATGCCTAGTGTTAACCTCCTCAGCGGTATGATTCTTTTCGATTTTTTTGTGCTGAAAGCGGTACCATTTTTTTGCATGGAAATATGTCGTTTTTTATTGTAGGCTGTAATTTTTAGGAATAACTCACTGAAATCTGTCCGAACAAGAGTCTAGTAAACATTCTGGATATGATAAAACTTGAAACACAAAATCATAAATTATAATTTAAAAAAATAATCATAAAAAAATAATAATAAATTTAATTCAATAATATAATCAAACCAAAAACACTGAAATTTGAAATACAGAGGCAAATTCGCACATTGCTGAGCAAAGTCGCAAAATCGTTTTCAGTGTCTGATGACGAATTTCCCCACGAATCATTATCACTCAATTCTGCAAGTGGTTCTGATTTACTATCGCTGTTCTCTAGCCGTTCTAAACCCGCTTTTGACGTAAAGGGACGCTTTTTGGACGCCATGGACTTTTCTAAGTTTCCAGGCAGAAAGAACATTCAAAATGCAGGCAGGGCACAGGACAAAGCAGTAGGGACAAAATGTATGTGAAATGCATTGAAACAGCAATGACAGCAAAAATGACATTTTTTAAAAAATTCAAATTTCCCGCCGGTTCCGGCGCCCGTACGTCCCGACGTCACAGGAACCGGAACACAGAAGCCGGATACCGGCATCGGCCGGAGGAGATGGCCGGGGACGCTGCAGGGGACACATCACGGGAGCGAAGGACAAGGTAAGTGCTGCAGGGACCCCCTGAGCAACGCCGCATGGTAAGCCCGAGTGTAGCTCGGGGTTACCGCACTTGGTATAGAAATTTTACCCCGAGCTACACTCGGGAATACCGCTAAGGAGGCTAATGCACGTTTAGAAGAGTCAAGCGATTTTTCTGCCAAAACTCTGCTGCTCTTGGATGCACTGGCTATGGGGGTTTTTTTCCTGCCTCTAAACTTCTATAAGATCTTGTTCATACCTATGCTTGTTGCAATTAATGCAGTTTTCCAGCGCATTTTGTGGTACGTGTGGCCTTTTTGAACATGTGTTTGTGATGCATTTTGTTTTTTCTGGGGGTTTTTTTGTCAATAGGAAAGTATTGAGTGTGATTTTCATACTTTTATGCGACTTTCATGTGACTTTTACGCTCTCTGGCACTCAAAGTCCCATCAAAGTAGTGCAGGAACCTTTTCATGGTCGCTGTAACTTTGAAAAGGTCCCTGCACTACTTTGATGCGATTTTGATGTAACTTTGCACTCTCAGGCACTCAAAGTCGCATCAAATTAGAGCAGGAACCTTTTCATAGTCGTTGCAACTTTGAGAAAGTTCCTGCACTACTTTGATGTGACTTTACACTCTCTTCCACTTAAGGTCACATCAAACTAGAACAGGAACCTTATCATAGTCGCTGCGACTTTGAGATGGTTCCTGCACTACTTTGATGCATCTTTGATGCACTCTCTGGCACTCAAAGTCCCATCGAAGTAGCGCAGTAACCTTTTCAAAGCTGCAGCGACTTTGAAAGTGTCCCTGAACTACGGTGATGCAAATTTGATGCAGCTTGAGTACCAGAGAGTGTAAAGTTGCATCAAAGGCACACTCTCTACTTTCCTATTGGCCAAAAAACACAAAACACATCAAAAAATGCATAAAAAAGGCAACACTTGTGTTTTTGGTGCAGTTCCATTGAAGTCTATGGCACCAAAATGCAATCTGCTGTGGGAAAAAAATCCTTGACCCTTTCCAAAAATGCAGCAGCTGAAAACACAAAAATGTGAACGTGTCCCATAGAAACCAGGTTAACTGGATTGTAGTGCGTTTCTGCAAAATGCAAAGTGCACTAAAAAGGGTATAGGTGTGAACCAGGCTTAAAAGTCTATGTGTGCATGGACACATAGGCTAACATGCAGAGGAAGGGGGAAAAAAAGCCA